GCTGTCTTCGGCAGTCCTTAAGGTACCAGCACAATAACACACTCAGCAAAATATCGTCTAATTATCGTCATCGATAAAATCCCAGAAAATATCGAGATATTATTTTTTTGTCAATATCGCACACCCCTACTGTGAGCTTACCTCACTTCAAACTGTGACGGTCTGTATGTATATTATTTTCTAAACTTTAGTGAAGTGTTTGTTCAAGTAGACTTTGTTGCTTGTGGAAACCTCACGCAAGCCTGAAAGGTACTTAAAACGTAAAATGTTATTTGCACTCTTGAAGGCTGTTCACCAAAGACTAAATTTAAGTCCGGCAGAATTTTCTGCACACTTCACCACCGAGGCCAAAATGAGCATTGTGAATGTAAGAGCCTCACACTACATTGTTTATTTGAATTGTATTTCAGGGCAGTTCGTGAAGACAGATAACCTGGACAGAAGTCAGTTCCAGATCCAGCCTCCACACCAGACTTCTCACTCACAAGGATTGCTGTCTACTAGATATTATGTGTACTCTTCAGACTTGGGTGCATGCAGATATTATTCAGGGACATGAACACTTGAACATTGCAAAAATAGAGAAAGTACCTTTTTTAAGAATTGTGTTAATTCCGTAAACATTAAAAAATATTCATATATTTTTACTGTTTTTTTTGTTTTGTTTTCCAAAGCACCTAAAAGCCAATTCACACTGCCATACTCCAACAGGGTGAACACACTGACCAAGCAAAACAAATAAGCATGTTAGTTGTGAGATTCATTCAACTTGGTTTGCTGATTAAACATGATTAAATATTTGTTCAGAATACTGTCGTTGTTGTGACTATTCATCTGGGAGGGGTGTGTATCAAGTGGCTTGGTTATGGTTTTGTTGAGGCTGACATGTGGAACCCATCTGGTCCAGCGTATAGGACCAGAATAGGACCAGCTATGGTCATACAGGTGACTGAGATATGGATCTGTCATGGTCCTTTTGTGGCTGCCAGGTTTAGTTCACCTGTGGATCAGGCTCAGGTGTTGCTCAGTTTTGGGCTTTCTGGTTAAAGATTGGTGTTGATATGGTTTACTTAAGGTTGTGTTGTGGTTCCAATGTTACATTTTGATCTGGCCCAATTCAGGGCGAGTTATGGGTAATTAACTTGGCTGAGATTTGGGCCAGTTATGGCTCATGTGTGGCCCTTGTCTGGAATCCAGACCTGGTCCACACTAGGACCGTAATTCATTGCGGTATGTGGGCCAAGCAAAAGCTGGTTGTGTGGGCCGGAGCTGGGCCAGAGAAAAATTGCTATGTGGGTCGTGGTATTGATATGCACATTCATGGGATCGGGTTAGGAAAAGCACACACGTTTTGAAAAATATAGATGAATAAAAATGCCACGCAAAATAGGCTACCATTCATATAGGCTACTTTCGATCTTCTCTGAGGTGACTCTGCTTCGTTCATCTGTTAACTTTCATTCAGCTGGAATTCCGGTCCGGAGATGAAGAAAACACAGATACTTTTTTAGTAGCCTATTTCTAGGCATTTAATTTAATTAATCTTGATTTCTCAAACTGGTGAACTTCTGTGTTTTTTTAAGGGCGAGTCGGAGTGTAGCCTATTCTTTGTTGGGTATTTTGTAAAAACAAACATATGAGATGTTTAAATAGCCTATATTTAAGGGATAATTCACACGGGATTTAAATAGGTACAACTTTGAGTTAATTTAAATAAATTACCTCACTGTTCTGTGCTATTTCAAGATCTTCATAGTGTGACATTTCTGACTCCACTCGAATTCAGGCCGCATTCAAAATAAAACGCATATGATGCGCCACGCATGTCTGTCGCCTATTGTCTTAGGAGAAAAAAAATCATAAGAGCCTTTTACCCAAGGGTGTACAATGATAAAGTTTTGGTTCCTTTCATTATGCTTGTTTGTAGCTCTACAACTTGTTTGCTTGGCTTTGCCGTTTTGTGAAGAACCAGAAACGTATCATGAACAATGTCAGAGAGGCCTTCAAACAAAGTGAGAAACTCGTGAATGCATTGCAAAAGACTCCGAATCCTCAGAACCCCAGAGGAATCGCTGACTCTTTCCTCATACGACAGCAAAAGGACGAGGTAGGTAGCTCACTGTTTACTTCACTCGACATAATCCCGATTCACTAATTTTATTACAAGATTTGTATTGCATGATCTTGGTAACACATAACAATAATTCACTGACGTTAATTATTGCATTAGGTATTAGAAAATAAACATAAACAATGCATTTAATACAGCTAATTTAAAGGGTTCATATGATGTTGCTAAAAAAACATTATTTTGTGTATTTGGTGTAATGAAATGTGTTTATGCAGTTTAAGGTTAAAAAAACACATTATTTTCCACATACTGTATATTATTGTTTCTCCTCTATGCCCCGCCTTTCTGAAACAAAGCTCATCGGTCTGTAAAGCGAGGTGTGCTGTGATTGGCCAGCTATCCAGTGCGTTGTGATTGGCCGAATACCTCAAGCGTGTGACGGAAATGTTACGCCCTTTACCATACTATGATGCCGTATCCTGGCCGGAGTGATGAGACAAAAACACTAAAACCCATTATAAACGAGGCATTTGTTGCATCCAGTGGGGACATAATTACGGATTATAATGACTTATACTGTCTTTTTACACGTTGCATCGCGCCGTGTAAACATAAAACCATGTCTGCATTTGTGATCGGAGAAATGACAAACAACAAGCACTACTCTACACTTGTCAGACTCTGTTCCATGTTTTGTCTGTGTAAATTGAAATCGCATCATATGACCCTTTTAATTTCTACTTATACATTTTCAACATTTTGTAGTTGAAGCCAATGCAAGTTTATTTAACTAGCACATTTCATACACAATGATAATTCAGAGTGCTTTATATTAAAAAAAAAAGATTTGAAAATAATCAAAATAGATGCATAAAAAGAAAATCAACAATAAAAAAAAACATTAAAATGTATTTTAAAACTAATAAGAATTCCGTAAATACACAGCGAAACAGATGAGTTTTTAGTCTGGAACGAATATGTTGAATGAACATGATTCAGCAATTAACTATTGAAGGCCTATATATGTTAAAATGAGCCTAAAGTAATAAATTCTGTACAAATATTGTCGTTATTGTTAGTTTATGTCATGATTTCTAATGCATTAACTAATGCTGACAAATTGAAAATCATGAAGGTGAAGGTTCAGGAAAGTGATTTGGTGCCTTTTAATGTTGGTATCACAAGGTGCCATTCACTCACCAACAAGCTTCTGGGAGGGGATGTAAAATTTCTTAGAGGGAATGAAGAACGTTTATAGTTTTAGAGTTTGTAATCACAACATAATCAATGTATTTTCACAATCTAATTTTTAATGTTTTGACATCACACTTTATTTTCCTTGGATGTCACCATGATAATGTGTGCAGGGATCAAGTGAATCAGCGACTCTGTTCCATTCGGTGAATCTTCATTGTAAAATTAATAACCTGTTTGCTGCTGGTACCGACACTATGACTACAACACTGTGCTGGGGTCTTCTGCTCATGGCCAAATACCCTGAAATACAAGGTACAACTGCAAATGGCATTTTGTTCATAAAGTTCTTATTCATCAGTCCATATTAAAAAGTCAATTGTTTATACAGTCAAGTCAAACTTTATTGTTTCATCAATAAATTGTCAGGAACTTTTTGAATAATTCTGAATAACTCATAATTCTGTGATGCTGTGTTCTTGCTTCTTGTGAATGTTGATCTGACTTGACAAAAGCCGAGGTTCAAGACGAGATTGACCGAGTGATCGGTAGACGTCAGCCAGTGGTGGAAGACAGGAAGAACTTACCATATACAGACGCTGTGATCCATGAAACCCAGAGATTTGCAAACATAGTACCCATAAGCGTCCCCCGTCAGACAACCTGTGATGTTCACCTGAATGGATACCTCATCAAGAAGGTCTGGCTCCAGTAAGTACATGCAGTGTTCTTGATTATGTGTTTGCACCATTTATCATTGATCTTTTGTGTTGTTTTGTGCAGGGTACCAGTGTGTGGGCGCTACTGGCATCTGTACTGAGGGATGAAAATGAGTGGGAAACTCCTGACAGCTTCAACCCACAGCCTTGTACTCTTCTAGGTTAAAAAAACTGTCGTCCCTAAAATGCGTTGCACAAGTTCGAACATCTGGGTTGTGCTGTTCTGTTGTAAATAAATCTTAACCAATGATTCCTAATTGCATCTACTTCCGGAAGGCCAAATAAAGTGCTTTTGCTTTCGCACTGAATCACACAGAGTCTCCCTGACATGGCTGCATCAACACTACTGCTGTTCCTGAAACCACGCCTTCTTTCTTTGCGTGCACATTTGGGCGGCATTATGCTAATATTTCCACATAGTGACGTAGATACGTGGGGGCGTGTTAGAGTGTTTAGGTAGGCGTGGTTGACTCTTAACTTTTATAACGAATATCTCTTTGGATTTGAGACTTTAGTCTTTGCAACTTTACAGATCTTCTTTATGCACCAAGAGCTTGTAACACTCCAAAGAGAAAGGAAAACTTGAAATCGCATCATATGACCCCTTTAATAGTTTTCAGTCTCGTGAATTGCTCAAAGACCTGGAGGGCAAAACAGCCACAGAACTGCAGCACAAACCTGTCAATTTTTCATCTGTTTCCAAGCCACAAATATTTAGATCACCTCTCTCAAAAAAAAAAAAAAGATATGTAAGCAAAATTCAAGTTTTAGCCATTTGCAATCTATATAAAGCACCCGCCGCAATATTTCAATCACTAAAAACAGCGGGACATTCTAAAACATTTAATGTGAAAAATGCGTTTAATGTGGCTTAATGTATTAAAACAGTGATATAAAAAGATCAAATTCAGTATATACACATTATTGATGATGCATACTTTATATAGGCAAGCAGATGAGCCCAGAATATGAATGCAGACTAGTGCAATAAATGGTTAAGTGTTTTCTTTCTTTATAATGGTTTTCTATGGGAAAATAATTCATGGGGTCCTATTATGCTTTTTCACTTTTTGAATTTTAGTCAGTGTGTAGTGTATGTTTGGGCATAAAAAAGATCTACAAAGTTACAAATCTCAGAGTCCACTCCAAAGGGAGATATTTCGTTTAAAAAAAAAAACCTTTCCAAGAACTACAATGAACGGCTCATTTGGACTACAGCGTTGTTTTCCGGGTTTTGTGATGTCACAAAGCAGAATATCATTAAAATAATTACCGCCTACGGCAATTCGAATGGTTGGGGGGTGGGGAGGGGCGAGGTCGTGGTTAAAACGCTTGGTTGAGTCAAAGCCACTAGAAGGCAAGCCTGCAACCATTAGCCGAAAAAGCGTAACGGCTAACGCTAACGCTTCCGCTGTGGCAGTACATGGGATAGGGGACCAGAGGCCGGTTTTTTTTTTTTTTTGAATGGATGTCAATGGAGGAGAGGCTTTACTACGTAGAATAAACAGCTTTTTATAGGAAACGGCTAATCATTTAATGAATCGACAGCCTATCTGCTAACCTTCAACATGTTTTACACTAAACAATACTTTTGGATTAAAGAATTTTTTAGAGTTTACCATGAAAAAAAATGCTGTTTTATAAGAGAAGTCACTGACTTTTTGTGACAGATGGGATTCAGTTTAAGGCACTTCTTATTCAAAAAAGGTTTAAAAAAAGCCGACCTCCATACGTCATCCGCCCAGAACTGCTTCCCAAGCTACATTAAAGTGATTATTACATTTTGAATATGGATATTTTTCTTACAAAAACGCATCGATTCGCTACAGTAGGCCTTTGTTTTTGTTCTGAAAGAAGAGTCATATACACCTAGGATGACTTGAGGGTGAGTAATTTATGGGCTAATTTTCATTTTTAGGTGAACTAACCCTTTAAGTGTGAATTAAATGTAATTTTTTCGACCATCTAATACATATTATTTGTAATTGATTTCAAATATATCACAGTTTAAAATGACATTAAATGCAATTAGTTGAACTTTTGAGTGATATTTTTGAACCACTTAAATGGGACTTTAGTATATTTTATATGTACTTTAAAATATGGTAAATCTGTACTTCTGAATAAGTAATTAATGTGAACTAAAATACACTTTAATGTAATTTACAGGTATACTATTATATAATTAAATATATTTCTAGTTATATCTCTAATAATGAAGTTGTAATTTAGTATATTTAAAATTTGATGTTAGAAATCTCTTAATTACCTAGTTAAAATCAACACAAACACAAAATGAAAAACCCCCTTCATTTATTGACAAAAAAACAATCTCTAAAACATATACACAAAAACCCTTTTTGTTACAACTTTAACTCACTTAGAAAGAGTCAGGAGAACAATGCAAAATCATTTTCTCCCTTACATACAAAAGTACCTAAACCTGAATCTTGCCATCACAGAAAACATAATTCTGTACACTCTAAAAAATGCTAGGTTGTTTCAACCCAACTTTGGGTCAAATTTTGACTAACCCAACTGTTGGGTTAAAATTTTACATTACATTTTTAACCCAAAAGTTGGGTTAGTCCATATTTGACCCAAAGTTGGGTTGAAACAACCCAGCATTTTTTAGAGTGTATGATTTATAAGCCTGTTTCCTCATTGGGAACCTAAAAATGTCCACACGGTCAAAATGTACTGGTATTACCATCTTTGTGGGGTCATTTGGTCCCCATAACATATAGAATTACCAACACACACACAATTAGTACAAAAATTATATCCCCGGTTTCACAGACAAAGTTTAAGCCTATAGTCCCAGACTAAAATGTAAGTCTGAGCTGTTTAACTAAAAGAAAATTGCACTGACTGTTCTTAAAATATATCATTGCCTTTGTTTTGTCTCAAGATGCACACCAGTAATATTTTTTCTAAGGCATGTTTAAAAAATGACTTAAATGTCTTAATTGAACTATGGCCTAATCCTGGTTTAGTCTAAGCCCTGTCTGTGAAACCAGGCCATAAACTCTCAAACTTTTACTAGCACCAACATTAAACCGAAGGACCGAAAGGTTTCTTCTAAAATCTTACTTCAGCATTAGTGAATGTGTGACGGTCTTGCCTGGGCGGTCTGCACAATGGAGACAGTGTGTGTAAATAAGGTTTCACTGATTCAGTAAGAGAATAAACCATTTCTACATAAAACACAAGGCAACACACAAATTGATTACAATCAGGTCTCGAAATATAAACACGTTATAACTCAATATTGAGCAACACACTCGATGCCAAACACGGCTTAACAGAGTCCCAACATATTAATTGAAAGATACAGTCACAATAAAGTAAATATTTGTGTGCTTTGGACACCTATAAATGGTAATTCTCAGACGGCGTGCAGACGTGCAATGCTTCGTTAACTCTGCTGTGGGCGGTCCCTACTCCGCACGCTAAATCACATCACGCACCACATAGATGGCGCTGTCCCCATTCATGCAATAATTTAACATACCTTTTCACTCCGTTACAAATGCAAGTTTGACAAAATAAATAAAGTTTAAAAAAAGAACTCCAAATGAACTTGCTGGGAAATGCTGTTTGTCAATGTTGCAGAAATTCTCCATCGGCAGAAAACTTCATATGTCATGAAGCTGCTCAACATCTCTCCACAGTATCTGTGAATGGAAATGTTCCAAAGACGCAGGAAAGTCAGAAAAAATACCTTGAGGAAAGAAAGAAAAAAAAATAAGAAGAAAAACAATTGTTATAAAACAGATCCAGTCATTATAAATGGTTCAATTGAGTGAAAGCAATGCAGTTGCGGCCCAAAGTTTATATACACGTTGCAGTATCCGCAAAATGTAAATAATTTAAGCAATAAGAGGGTAGAGGGGTAGGATCATAAAAATTGCAATTACTGCCCTGATGAAGCAGTTAATTCTGCAAGGTGTACGTAAACTTCTGACCACATCTGCATCACCTAGAGATTAATTGCCTCAATCATCAGGGCAACATCGTAGTAGAATGCTGGGAGATGTTCCTTCACATTTCCCACAAACACCAGAATTCCACTGACCACACCATCTTTGCTGACACTGGGCTTTAAAAATAGATAACAGTTTTATAAACGTTTTTATTCCTACTTTACAGGAAATAAAACAACTTTATCAATTGCCTAAATACAGATAAATATCCCAAAACCCGCATGAAAATGAAAAAAGGCAATCTTCATTTCTTTTTTTCATCTTGCCTTGCAAGCTTCTCTCGCACATCTTCATGAAGGATATTCCTGTATTTACCACGGCTGGCACGGCAAAGCTGCTGCCCTCTTCCTTTGGTTTGTTACCTGTAAAATATATGATGATTAGAGGGGGATCTGTAAATACACAGGTGGGAATGTAGCCTATTTCTTGCAATGGAAAAGATTCAAAGCATTTAAAAGCCATAGGCATAGTGACTTGATGACAGTTTTAGCTTGTGTGATCAGGGTGAGCTGGCTGGGCAACAATTCATTAAAAAACTTGTAACATCACCTCTTCGATAGGGGTCTGATCCTGCAAAATGAATGAATAACTGAAGATAAGTACAAAAATAGTACATATTACAAACACAAGCAGTAACTGAACAGCTCACTCTTCAAATGCAAAAAAAAAACTATTTCTAGAGGTGGCTGATATTTTGAATAGCCTATTACTGGTGGTTATAATATCGAATATAGATTATGTTAAATATTACTAGATCGGATCTTTGAATTTTGTACAATATCGTTAAATTTAACTTTAAATCTTTTAGTTAAAATAAAAATATTGTATTTTAGTGATCACATTCCGATATAAGAATTTATTTTAATGCAACAAATTATTTTAATGCAAAAAATTAACAATAAATAAAGCTTTTATCAAGATATACTTGACTCATTATTTGCAGTATAAAGTCTCATCTGTAATCATCGATACGTGGCGCTCCTTTGTTCTCCTCTTGTTTGCTCAGTAAAGTTCCCTCACGCATCGCGATTCCAGAAACATGGCGGACAGCGCATTTTTCAAACTCTGGTGAAGTAGTACGCCGTCATGACGTAGTATTTTTGGCGCATGCGCATTAAACAAAAGAGATACTTAATCCATGGTTAAATGTTATTATTTCAAATTTTCCATTTCTGTTCAA